TTAAACTGAATGGTATTGATAGATAAATGCTGTAAATGCACTTTCCCTGTGATTTTCTTCATAACGTTTTCTTTTCTCTAGCTTGCTTTATTATAACAATACAGTAGATAATATATATATAACATACCAAATGTGTATCAATCAATTGTTTTTGTGTTTGGTAAGGCTTCTGGTAAAGAGTAGGCTATAGTAGTTAAGTTTTTGGAGATTCAAAAGTTATAGGAGGCCCGGTGTGGTGACTCACGCCTGTAATCCCAGCTTTTTGGAAGGCGGAGGCAGGAGGATCAACTGAAGTCAGGAGTTCGAGACTAGTCTGGCCAACATGGTGAAGACCCGTTCCTACTAAAAATACAAAAATTAGCCAAGCATGGTGGCCTGCACCTATAGTCCCAGCTACTAGGGAGGCTGAGGTGGGAGGATGGTGTAAAGCCAGAAGGTGGAGGTTGTAGTGAGCAGAGATCATACCACTGCATTCCAGCCTAGGTGACAGAGTGAGACTGCGGAAAGAAAGAAAGAAAAAGAAAGAAGAAAGAAAAGAAGGAAGGAAAGAAAGAAAAAGAAAGAAAGAAAAAGAAAGGAAGGAAGGAAGGAAGGAAGGAAGGAAGGAAGGAAGGAAGGAAGGAAGGAAGGAAGGAAGGAAGGAGAAAGAAAGAAAGAAAAAAGAAAACAAGCAAGCAGATATTTGACTGTGTGGGAGGTTGGCACCCCTAATTCCCGCATTGTTCAAGGGTCAGTTGTACATACATACACACATAGAAAAATACTGAAATGGGCCGGGTGCGGTGGCTCATGCCTGTAATCCCAGCACTTTGGGAGGCTGAGGCGGGTGGATCACAAGGTCAGGAGATTGAGACCATCCTGGCTAACACGGTGAAACCCTGTCTCTATTAAAAATACAAAAAAATTAGCCGGGCATGATGGCGCGCACCCGTAGTCCCAGCTACTTGGGAGGGTGAGTCAGGAGAATCACTTGAACCAAGGAAGCAGAGGTTTCAGTGAGCTGAGATTGCACCATTGCACTCCAGCCTGGTTGACAAGAGCTAGACTTTGTGTCAAAAAAAAAGAAAAAGAAAGAAAGAAAAATACTGAAAGAAAATATACATGTTTTCTGAATCCTGCCTCAAGAGTAAGCTAGAAGTCATGGATTAGGACTCTATTCCGTCTGGGAAGCTGGTTCTACACTGATGTGGGTCGACATAGAAGGGAAGGCTGTTTACCACTACGCGATGCAGAAGGTCTGGTGATGGAGCAAGGGGGAGCATCTCACTCACAAATCCAGAAGGCACTTAGGACCATTCAAGGACAAGTGCACTTCCAGGATTTTCCCCAGGGCCAGAAGATCCTAAAAGCATTCCTGCGTGACACTCCTCTTTCAAAGCACGGTGAAAAGAATCCGGTCTTAGAGAAGACCAGGTGGAATTCTGCCTCTTTCAAGTTGTGGATTCAAATAATGCTTGTAGAGTAGAAATCTGAATTTAAACTGAGCAGGAAAAGGTTACAGCCAATGGTTATCGGGATTCTGATGGTGGGGGCTATGTCACCTGTTCAGTTGCTTCTCTGCTTTAATAGGAAATGAACTCTCTTTTGGAGCAGCAAATCTGAGAAGGGGTCATGAGGAAGTGCCTTTCCCTGGGTGCCTTGAAGGGTCAAAGCTTCAGGGTGGGAAACAAGGAGAGGTGAAGAGAGCACTGGACTGAAAATCCGTCTCCACGGGCCTAGTTGTAGCTCTTATTTCTCAACTGCACTGTGACCTTGGACAAGTCACTTTCTCTGCATCTCATCTTCATTTATAAAATGGGCATAGTAGCACCTACTCCGTTTGCTTCCCAAGGTTTAGTGAAGTTTAAATTGGCTAGTTAGGCACTGTGAAATTGTTTTCTAATGCAAGTCTCAGGGGTGATTACGTGTCTGCTCTGCTGGCTTGTTATTATGGGAGGATTTAAATCTTGTGTGACCTTGTGTTTGCTATGTAGTTTGGGATGAAGGGGATATCACACTCACAAATAAAAGCATTCCCTTGCTAATCACGAAGCTGGCTGAATTGTGTGTGCCACATTTAACGTATGATCAGCAAAGCCACATAAAAATAAACAAAGCAGAACAACTCTCTCTGAGAAGAAATAAGATTCTGGGGGTCACAGCCCTCTCCTTAACCCCTATTAAATCATGGATCTTGATAATAACAGGGACAGACTTCGTTATGTGGAGGCTGTGGCCAGTGAAGAATGCAAAGATTGGTCTCTTAAACAGATACTGGTGACTGTACTCTTAGAGAACCAGTTTTTCCCACCTTTTACAGATGGCCAATGTAAACCACAGTTAAGATGTCGTCTGTGGATGGAAGTTCTAACTGGGAGAACAGAAAATGCTGAGAAATGAAGTCGTGGTCGACGTTTGCTTTGTTGTTATTGTTTCTCTGTAAGGTTAAGGACACTGTCATAATCTGCATAAATTAAGAGCGAACGCTTTGCAGTCAGAATCGTTTAAGATGTAATCTTAGTTACCAAACAGTCTAACTGTACGACTTTAGGTAAGCGCTTCATTTCTCTGTACCTTGGTTTTGTAATCTGCTAGTTATTTTCGAAGTCACAGGCCTGTGTTGAGAATAAGGGAGGAAAATGTACGTAAGCACTTCACGGCCAACGCAGAATACGGACTGAGTAAATGACAGCTGAAATACTGAATAGATAGTTGCTACCGTGATCATTATTTTCACCAGAATTTTTAAAATAAAAAGTCAATTGCATTCTTATATGGTAGCAATTAAGAGCTAGAAAACGTAATCTAAAAGAGGGTTTAAAAAGTTTTGTGGAAGAAAAAAGGGATCAAAATCAGCCAAGAAAACTAACGGAGTAAAAATGAGGAAGATGGACTTACACTCTCAGGTACCAGGACTTATAGGCAGCCATATTAATGTCGTGTGTTGCTGGTGTAGAGACAAGCTGGTCAGTGGAATAGAATAGAGATCCCAGAAAGAGAACCCTGAATATAAAGAACCTTGATATTTGAGAGAGGGTTTGGAAGGTCAGTGGGGAAAAAAGACCATTTAATATATTATTAACCTGGGGGAGTGGGGAAAGAACAGCCATGAAAAAAAGTGAAATTAGTTCTTAAGTTCACACCATACACAAAAATTATAGATTACTTAAGACTAAATAACAAAAGCTAAACTTCTATTTTTAAGGAGAGAAGATAAGTAAATATCCTTCTAATCTTGAGAAAAGAAAAAAATTTCAGCAACAAAAATGTTAACCATAAAATTAACAATTGGTAAATGTTATTCTATTAAAAAACTTCTGTTCATCAACAGAAACCTTATCCATGTGAAAGAAAATTTACAAACTGGATTGGAAAAAGATATTTTCAGTACATGTAACTGACGATGAATTCATATCAGGATCAGGTTAAAAACTGCTTCAGAGCTGTCAGGAAACAACAGACATTCCAAAAGAAAAATAGCAGAAGACGCCCACAGGCATTTTACAGAAGAACGTATAACTAAAAAAGATGTTCAGTCAGAGGGAATTACCAGTCAGGGCCACAGTGAGATATATTTTATATCCATTTAATCAGCGAAAATAAAAAATACCAACTATACTAAGTACTGGAGAGGATATGGAACCACAGAGTCTTCTATACTTTGCTGGTAGAAATACAACTGTATACAAGCTCTTTAGAAAGGAGTAATTTTATTACCGAGTGTAGTGGCACACAGCTGTAATCCCAGCATTTTTGGGAGGCTGAGGCAGGCGGATCACGAGGTCAGGACTTTGAGACCAGCCTGGCCAACATGGTGAAACCCCGTCTCTACTGAAAAATACAACAATTAGCCTGGTGTGATGGTGCACCTATAATCTTAGCTACTCAGGCGCCTGAGGCAGGAGAATTGCTTAAACCTGGGAGGTGGAGGTTGCAGTGAGCCGAGATCACATCACTGCACTCCAGTGCACTTATATATTATAAGAGAAATATAAATATATCTGTATAAATATAATAGGTAAATATGTGATATAAAAATATAAGATATCGTATAATAGACACATCATGTTTATCTAATATATAAAAGATAGATATAAGATATCTGGAAATAGATGCATATATAACCAACTTGCTGAACATGTACAAGGATGTCAATAGCAGCACTCTTCAACATAGGAAAATCTGGAAACAACCTAAATATTCAATGACAGTCATGCATTTCTGAGCAACAGGGATATTTTCTGAAAAATCCATATTTAGGCAATTTGGTCATTGTGTGAACACCATAGAGTATACTTTAAAAAGCTAAATTCTATAGCCTACTACACACCTAGCTACGTGGAATAGACTATTGCTCTTAGCTTACAGACCTTTATGCATGTTACTGTGTTGAATCCTGTAGGCAACTCAATATAATTGTAAGTATTAATATTTGTGTATCTAAACATAGAAAAGCTACAGTGAAAATATGGTCTAAAAGATAATAAAAGGTACATCTAAACAGGACACTTAACCATGAATGGAGCTTGCAGGAGTAGGAGTTGCCCTGGGTGGATAAGTGAGTGAGTGAAAGTGGATGTGAAGGCCTAGAACGTTACTGTATCCTCCTGTGCGCTTTATAAACACTACACTTAGGCTACACTAAATTTATAAAAAGTAGGTTTCTTTCTTCAACAATAAATTACCCTTAGCTTACTGTGATTTATTTTTACTTTAAATTTTTAAAAACTTTTAAACATTTAAGTTTTAAAAAACTTTTTGGACTCTGGTAATAACACTTAGCTTGAAACACAAACACACCGTACGGGTATTCAAAATCTTATCTTTATACCATTATACTATAATTTTTTCTATTTTTAAAACTTTTATTTTTTACTCCTTAAACGTTTTGTTTTTTTATAAAACGGAAAGTTGTTTTTTTTTTTTTAACTAAAACAGAAGCACACATTACTGTAGGACCAAGCAGAGTCAGGATCATCAACATCACTGTCTCTCACCCACACATCTTGTTCCACTGGCAGGTCTTCAGGGACAGTACTACGAATGGAACTGTCATCTCTTATGGTAACAATCCCTTCTATTTGAATACCACCTGAAGGACTTGCCTGAAGCTGTTTTACAGGTAATATGTTTTTAATAAGTAAAATAGTATATTGTAAAATACAGCTTAAAAATATAGTATAGTAAATACATAAACCATAACATAGTCATTTATTATCAAGTAATATGTACCATACATAATTGTATGTGTTATCCTTTTATATTTTTATTTTTATTAAAAAATTGTTTTTGAGACAGGTTCCCACTCTGTTGCCCAGGCTGGAGTGCAGTGGCGTGATCTCAGCTCACTGTAGCCTCAACTTCCCTGGCTCAAGTGATTCTCCCACATCAGCCTCCCGTGGAGCTGGGACTACAGGCACACATAACCATGCCCAGATAATTTTTGCATTTTTGGTAGAGATGGCGTTTCACCATGTTGTCCAGGCTGGTCTCAAACTCCTGAGCTCAAGCTATCTCCTGCCTCCACCACCCAAAGTCCTGGGATTCCAGGAATGAGCCAGGGTGTCCGGCCCGTATAATAGTTTTATATGACTGGCAGTACACCAACATCACCAGAAACACACGAATAGTGTGTTGTGCTACAGCGTTGCCATGGCTACCATACATCACTATGCAATGGGAATTTTTGAGCTCTATTCTAGCCATAGATGCAGCTGCATAACGACATTTTAGTCAACAATAAACCTCCTACACAACAGTGGTATAAATATACCACAGTGTGTTTATCCATTTTCTTGGTGTATTCACATAATTGAATATTATGCAACAGTCAAAACAATGAATTTCAGTTATATGCAACGATGTGAATGTTTCCTTTGTCCAGGTTTCTGAGAAGACGATGTCGAGGTGAAATTAAATATGGAAAGATTGTTTTAGGGTCAATGACTGTGAGAGAAAATGGAGAAGGAGCCCGGGAAGGGTGGGAGAGCCATCCGAGTACCATGCAAGTCTGACCCCGATTTAGGCAAGAGGAAAAGAAGGTGGAATGAAAATGAACCACATTTCTATTAGGTCTAAGGAGGACTTGGCAAGGCCACCCAGGTGTCCTTAAGCCATCAGATGTTGGGGGAGCCCCATGTCTCCCAAGAATGGGGCTGCCCGATGCCCCTTCCACACTCAGTCATTGACTGGGAGCCACAGATGTCTTAGCAACAGAACATTAAGGGGAAAAAAGAAGAAGCATTTAGGATAACATTTTTTTTTACACAAGGTTAAAAGTAGCTAAACACAAAAAAACTAAAACATCTTTTAGGAATGTAGATGGTGAAACCACATGTTGGAAAGTGAAGAAATGATATACACTTGAATCAGGTGAGTGGGTGAGGTTTGCTTAAGGACAGGATGCAGGAGGGGCACGTGAGTGGATGTAAGGGACTGCCAATGTTTTAATTAGATTATTTAAGAAAATTGAGTCAATAAATATATACTTTCACACATACCTATAAGCGGCAGGGTCAAACATGGGCCCAAAATGACAGTATTGTATGAGAAAAAAGGATTATGATTAATGTAATTCTGTGACTCTGAGGCCGAAAATGCATTTATTTTCTCTGCTGTGCTCCTATGTGTTTATCTCTAATTGTTAGTGATTGAGCTACTGATGGACAAGAAATTGCCTCTGTGTCACTGATTAAACATTAAGTTGGTTAAGGTTTTTCTCAACCTGGTAACCTGGAATTTGGATGTCTTCTTATAGAACCGTAGATGGAGTATTCAAACTCCAAGTGCTCAAATAAGAGAAAGAGAGGACAGTTGATGTACATGGATCTTCCCCAAGGAGTATTTGGTTATCTCCCTCTTAGACAAGCTAGGAGCCTGGAGTTCAAAGCTCTAGGAATGAAGACCTAGATCAGGCTCAAGGGAGCAGGAAGATGGCAAAAGATAGCAGGTCAGGCCGGGTGCAGTGGCTCACACCTATAATCCCAGCACTTTGGGAGACCAAGGTAGGCGGATCACCTGAGGTCAGGAGCTTGAGATCAGCCTGGCCAACATGGTGAAACCCTGTCTCTACTAAAAATGCAAAAAAATTAGCTGGGCGTTGTGGCATGTGCCTGTAATCCCAGATACTCGGGAGGAGGCTGAGGCAAGAAAATAGCTTGAACCTGGGAGTTGAAGGTTGCAGTGAGCCAAGGTTGCAGTGAGCCAAGGTTGTGCCATTGCACTCCAGCCTGGGTGGCAGAGAGGGACTCCATCTCAGACAAACAAACAAAAAGACAACAGGCCAGAGGGTTCTCAAGAGGCACAAGAACATCATCATCATGGCTATAGGCTCTCAAGCCAAATCTCTAGGTTTGAATCCTGGCTCTACTACATTCTAGATTTTTCATCTAATCTCTTTATACCTTGGTTTGTTTTTTTGTTTGTTTGTTTTGTGTTTTGTTTTTTGAGACAGGTCCTCAAACTGTCACCCAGACTGAAGTGCAGTGGCACAATCATGGCTCACTGCAGCCTCAGCCTCCTGGGCCCCAGCAATCCTCCCACCTCAGCCTCCCGAATAGCTGGAACCACAGGTATGCACCATTATGCCAAGCCAATTTTTAAATTTTTGGTACAGACGAGATCTCACTATGTTGCCCAGGCTGGTCTCGAACTCCTGAGGTCAAATGGTTCTCGCGCCTTCGCCTCCCAATGTGCTGAAGTTGTAGGTGTGAGCCGTTTTCCCAGCCTGGGTCGTGGTTTTCACGTACATAGAAGGGAAATAATAGTATCTTCTCCACAGTGTGTTTGTAAAAAGTAAATAACTCAATATGCTTAAGATGCTTAAAACAGAGCCTGAGACATACTGTATCAGTCAAGATGGGCTAGGATATGTTTCAAAAACCCCCAAATGCTAGTGTCTCCTAAGGAAAAGTTTTATTCTCCGTGCATACAAGGTCAAGTAGTACAAGCCTATTGATCATGAGCCCTTGCACCGAGATCCATAGAGCCAGGGGGAGGAAACTGATGATACTTAATAACAGCTTTGTCCACCCAACGCCAAGAACTCTGCCATGTGTTTTTTGCTGCTCAGCTGTAAAGCATCAGCAGAGGGTTCTGTCCCAATCTCCTCAGTGCAGGATCCAGGTAGATGGAGCTTGTACTCTTTGGATAATTGTCTAGTGCAGTGGCAATGAAGGAGACGAGACAAAATGTACATGGGTCTTAAAGGTTCTTCTCAGATGTCACTTCTTCTAGCATTTTGTTGGCTGAAGCAAGTCACATGGTGGCACCTTACCTAAAGTGGGCAAGGAATTGCAAGTTTTCACCTTCCTCGAGGTAGGAGAAGCAGAGTATTTGTAAACAATCCAATCAACTTCTGGGGAATGTCTCTAAAGTGACGTTGCCTGGGCCACTTTTAAGATTACTAGTTGAGGCCCCCACACGGGTTTTCAGGTCTTTGCTCATCTCTGTACTTTCTGATGTCAGAGACCCAAAAGTCACCATTTCTGCTATGTGAATCAGTTGTCTTGGGCTCTTCGCTGCTGCTGACAATAACATAGCCAGACGAACTAGCTCCTATGGTATAACAAAAATACATATGAAGGAGATAAAAGAATAGAGTTCCTTTGGATTAACAGTAAACCTACAAGATCAATGGCATGAGCATGACACGTGGCTCCAGTCCATTATTTCACTGGCCCATGACTACGCTGAGCTGAGTTACTGGACTGCTTCAAGCCTACGAGATTCTTTCTATTGACTGTGAGTTAATCATTCAGAAGCCAACAGACACCATTAGTTCACATTTAGCAAATATTGCTGATGGTGACAATATATAATAGTGACTGACTAATAACGTGGTCCCTGTTCTCATGGAGCTTTCCGACCAGTGCCGGGGTCGGGGAGGACTGATATGAAACAAACAAACACGTAAGTAAGCCTACAATTAAAATCAAGATGTGTACTTTGAGGGGAGGGGACATACCAGAGATTCAGGGGAGACTTTTTGGAATTCATAGTGGAGCTGATACCTGGAGAATAACAATTGATCGAATCAAGGTTGAGGAAAGGAGGAGAGTATTCTCAGGCAAAAAGAAACATGGGGGTAAAGAAAGGATCTGGAGGGCCGGGCGCGGTGGCTCACGTCTGTAATCCCAGCACTTTGGGAGGCCGAGATGGGTGGATCACGAGGTCAAGAGATCGAGACCATCCTGGTCAACATGGTGAAACTCCGTCTGTACTAAAAATACAAAAAATTAGCTGGGCATGGTGGCGCGTGCCTGTAATCCCAGCTACTCGGGAGGCTGAGGCAGGAGAATTGCCTGAACCCAGGAGGCGGAGGTTGCAGTGAGCCGAGATCGCGCCATTGCACTCCAGCCTGGGTAACAAGAGCAAAACTCCATCTCAAAAAAAGAAAAATAAAAAAAGGATCTGGAGTGACAGGGTGTGTATAATGAGTATTAAACATTTTTTAAAAAGAAAATTTTGACTGTAGTGTAGAGATAGAGCAGGGTGAGTGGTCAAGACAAAGCTATGCTTTAGATCAGGTTAAGAATATTAGTTTTATTTCAAGAGAAATAAGAAGCCATTGACAAAAGCAGCCTTTCCTAATAATGTGTGAATCCTTGGGTGGGGTCCAAGAAGGGAGAGCGTGTACATGAAAGGACAGCAATGACCTTCAGTAACTCAACTCCGGAGGATGCAGGTCCTGATGTACTCGGAAGTACATGGGAAGGAGAAACAGTTGAGACCCCTGTTTCCTAAAGAGAGTTCCTCTGGACACAAGTCGCACACGTCCCTTTCAAAAAGCATTGTGTTCAAAAAAATTTATGCAGCAGCTGTTCACTGTCTAGGACCCTTGGGGAACCACAATGCATAGGAGCTATATTCATGGTTAAGTTCTACAGGAAGGAGGAAAAATGCTTAGCTTAATATTCTAAAACTTCTGTGATTGTGGAGGCATTTTATTTTCAGATAAACTCTATTTCCAACCTGTGGCGTTATGGACAATCTAGACTCATGCACAGTTACACATACCAGTTTAAAAATGAAAAGAAAGCCTTTTGTATACACAAGATTTTAAATGTGCGTAGTAACAGGTGACCAGTCAGGAAAAGGAAAATTGACTCCGGAACACCAGTGTGTTGAAATCCCACATCTGAGAACCACTGAATCTAATGCCGATAAGAAGGGCCGTGCTGAAAGATTCCGGTGAGGCAACAGCTTAGAAATTCAGATAACCTATGGGGATACGGTCTGATGATTCCAGGCATCTCCTGACGAGTGTGTCAGGAGAAATCATCCAACGTGGTAAAGCTCCACAGAGTGGAAGGCTTCAAGAGAATGGACTTTGATAGCCTCGTGGCGGCCTGTATCCCTGAACTGTGGGTGTGATTACACAGATTACTTAGACGAAATCTCCACTGCCATTACCAAGTTCATAAAGAAAAGGAAAGTCAAGATTCTTAACAGAGTAAGAGTTAAAGCCTGAAAGATAAGCCTGAAAGCAGAAAGTCGTAGTTCAAAGAAGAGCGACTCAAGAATTGCATAATGGACCCATGCTTGTGGGTACAGAGAGCTGGAGCAGAGGACAAATCTCATAGATCTTGGGGCAAATAATATACGAGAGGAAAGGAGCAGAATGTGTCCCAGGCTAGAGAGAGGAGGTGATGGTAACATCAGGCTTACCAAGGGTTGGAGGGGTAGAATGGGAAGGCTGCAGGAAAACTTAGTGACCATCTAGTCCTGGTCATATGTGGACAGAGCTCTGAGTTATTAAAGAACTTTACCAAAGTCACACAGCCAGAGAGTTGCTGAGCCAGAACTATAATGCCATGCTCTTACCCTCATTCCAGGCCATCTGTGCCAAGTGGAAAGAACAGTGGTAACTCTGGCAATGTGATATTAATCATTTAAATAAAATATAAAATTAATATCCCTGGAGCCTAAATTTTAAACAGATTTTTTATTTTTAAGAGACAAGAAGAAAGGCTGAAAGTTTTAGGTATACATAGGCCTGGGAATTAAAAATGCACAGTACTCCAAAATATTAGATATTATAATAGATATTAAGCATTTTCCTTTTGCTCATTCATTCATACATTTTTTTGTCTGTCTGTTTTTTTTTTGTTTTGAGACAGTGTCTCACTCTGTCATCCAGGCTGGAGTGTAGTGGAGCTATCTTGGCTCATTGCAACCTCGGCCTCCCAAGTTCAAGTTATTCTTCTGCTTCAGCCTCCTGAGTGGTTGGGATTACAGACACTCACCACCATGCAAGGCTAATTTTTTTGTATTTTTAGTAGAGACAGGGTTTCACCATGTTAACCAGGCTGGTCTCAAACTCCTGACCTCAAATGATCCACCTACCTCAGCCTCCCAAAGTGCTGGGATTACAGGCGTGAGCCACCATGCCCGACCTCATTCATAAAAGTTTATATGAACTTTTGGTTCTGGGCAGGAACAGGTAAGCACAGTCAGCCATATCTCTCCTGCTAATTACAACTAAAAACTAGGTAAACACAGATAATCCAACTCTCAAAAGGCTCTGAAAAGTGGATGAAAGCAGTCAGAGTGGGTAAGGATAACTGGACTTCAGGGATGATTTGGTGGTGATTTCTCTAAAGACTTTATTTATTTATTTATTGATTGATTTATTGATTTATTGATTTATTGCCTCTTATAGATTTTGCTCTGGGTGCTGAAGCAGCCTGAAGCCTGGACACAGACAGGAAGAAGCCCTAAGGATAGCCAGAGTCTCTGGAAAGGGAGGACCCCATTGGACTAAATCCTTTTGACTTTAATCAACCCTACTCCAGGCAAACACCAGCAAAGAACTGGTCCTCCTTCCACTCTCACTGGTGGCTGAGGTGGTCCCTCAGGGGGAGAGTCCTGCTGAGTCTCTCTGCCCTACACCAGGCAAATGCCAGCAAGAGGCAGTCTTCTTCCCTTCCTCCCCAGCACAGCAGACCCTATACATAGGATAACACCTCAGCTTTCTAGCCAGACATCAGAAAGGGGAACCCTGAAGGCCAGAGACTGCAGGATAGAGTGGGGAATTATGAAGAACAACGTGCTGGAGAAAAGGATTATTTAAAGCAGTGTATAAAGAAGTGCTGAGCTTACTCCTGAACTGAGCATGTGTGAAGCTGAGCAGAATCAGCACATAAGGACTTTCACCACTGAATGATGGAGTAGACCGTTGCCCAGGTTTCAGACTGGCAGCTAGGTGATGCAGAGGCAGGATGGACCAGCACATCACTGTAAATGCTTTAGAAAGTTGGCCAGGTTGTGAGTCTAAACTTGATTTGCCTGACTGCATTTAACACAAGTCAATGCTTTTCAGAAGATTTACATAGGACTCTGGGTTTTATCACATTATATTTAAAATGTCCTACACACAATCCAAAATTATTTGACATGTAAAGGACCACAAAAATGTAAACAAGAGTAAAGAGAAACGGCAATCAACAGAAGCCAGCATGGAGCTACTTAAATATTGAAATAGTCAAATAAAGACTTTAAAGTAGGTATTATAATTATGCATTAATAAATAAAGGTAAATACTTCTTAAATAAATGGAAAGACAGAAGTTCTCAACAAATAAATAAAAGCTATATAAAAGAACAAAATGGAAATTATAGAGTTGAAAACTTCACTGGAGAGACTCAGTAGCAAACTGGAGATGATCTCAAACTATACCTCACACCATATATAAAACTTGACTCAAAATGGATCATAGAACTGAATGTAAAACTATAAAAGTCATCAAAGAAAATATTTTTAAAACTTTGTGATTTGGGGTTAAGCAAAGAGTCTTTAAATACAAGGAAATAAAGACAACCCATAAAAGAGAATATGGCAAAATTTGACTTTGTTGGAATAAAAAAGCCTTTATTACTTTACAGAATATGCTGTTAATGCAATAAAAAGGTTATAAGCAAGGAGAAAATATTTATAATCACATATAAAATGAAAGACTTGTATCCAGAATATATAAAGAACTCAAAATTCAGTGATTAGAAACGAACAACCTGTTTTAAAATGGGCAAGAGATTTTGACAGACACTTCACCAAACAAGATATACGGATAGCAAATATAATGCTTAAAATTAATAAGATGAATGAAAAATGCTTAAATATAACCAATTGGTAAAATGCAAATTAAATGACAATTTTAAGTGCTGGTGAGAATGCAATCAAAAAGAACTCTCCTGTATTGCTGACAGGAATGTGAAATGGTACAGCCACTCTGGAAAATTGCTTGAGAGTTTTTTATAAAGTTTAAGTTACATTTACCAGGTGACCCAGCAATCCCACTTTCAGGTATTTATCATAGAGAAGTAAAAACACGTTTACACAAAAATCTGTGCACAAATGTTTATAGCAGCATTATTCATAATCGCCAAAACACAAGAAACAACCAACTTAGCATTAATGTGTGAATGGATAAATAAACCGTGTGCCATTTATGCAATGGAATACGACTTAGCAATAAAAACGATGAATCATGAATACAGACAATAACATGGGTGAATCTCAAATGCATTATACTGAGTGAAATCTCAGTATCTAAAGGTTACAGATTTATTCCATTTAGGAATCATTCTGGAAAAGGCAAAAGCAGACAGATCTGTGGTTTCCAGGACTTAGGAATACAGAAAGGATTTAACTTAATAAAGGTAGCTGGAGGGAAATCTTTGGAGAATTCAAATTGTTCTCTATCCTGACTGTGATGCTGGCTATAGGAATCTATGCATGTGGTAAAATTTATAGATGTGTACATCAAAAAAGGTGAAATTCACTCTTTGTAATTTTTATAACTAAAGAAATGTTTAGAGCAGGTGCACTGGCTCACACCTATAATCCCAGCACTTCAGAAAGCCAAGCCAGCCGGACCATCTGAGGTCAGGAGTTCAAGACCAGCCTGGCCAACATGGTGAAACCCCATCTCTACTAAAAATACAAAAATTAGCTGGGCGTGGTGGTGGGTGCCTGTAATCTCAGCTACTTGAGAGGCTGAGGCAGGAGAATTGCTTGAACCTGGGAGGCAGAGGTTGCGGTGAGCAGAGATCACGCCATTGCACTCCAGCCTGGGCAACAGAGTGAGACTCTGTCTCAAGAGAAGAAAAAAAAAAAGAAAAAAGGTGTTTACAGCATTCCTATTCTATATCTACCATAACCTCCGAAACTAAAAATATGATTTAATGTTTGAAAGGGGATTGAAACTTTGTAATATAAAAATGTAACTTTTAAGTTTTTTTGTCTAGTTTTCATTCCCAAATGTCCTCTCATTCTAATAGATTTATTCTAAGACTTTCTATATCCGCTGACAAGGGAAAAAGAAGGATGTTACCTGTGAAGCTAATGGGAGTAAGAAGTAGGTGAGGACTCGAGAAAAAGTGTTTGATTAGAACGTTTAAAAATATCTCTTTCACTCAAGGTTGGTGCTGAGAAGTAAGTTGACACCACTGAGCAGATGTTGTGACTGGGAACAGCCGGGGTCAGCACGCTGTCCTGCCACAGAGCAATAGAGGCAGAGTTCCCAAATCCTGCGGTTGCTGACCTCCCTGCATGCAGTTCCCATGGGCCATCCATTTGGAGGTGGAAGAAGGATGGGAGTGGTGGGAATAAAACTTCTTCTTCTGACATGTTAAGTAAAAATGATAAAGATTGTTTATGTCTAGAATGACCAAAAGGGGACAGATTGGTGGTACTGAGCAACTGTAAGAGAATAGATGGAGATGGACATAAAATAACTGAGTAATAACTAATTTATGGAAGTTAATACCCTAGTATACATTCCTCTCTCTCTCAAAGGTACTCAGACTCCAGGGCAGAACTCTGTGAAGAAAAGTTTCCTACATGGAAACCCAGGTGGGGCCAGATGAGCTGGAAACAGAATGTCTTGCTTTTACTTAAGAGTCAGACCATCTCATTCACCAAGAAAAAATAGCTTGGAAAGTACAGGTGTTCTGTTCAAACAACGCACAAACAGCCCCTCCCTCCCACAATGAGGGGAAGAAAAGTCCCAAGTGACCAAAAAGATTAACACTGCCGTGATTATTTTCATTTCAAAAAGGGCCCACTTAAAATATTTACTTCGGCAGTTCCTTCAAGTGTGGACCACCTCTGGGCATTTAGATTTCCTTCATAAATCATTAACCACTGAGGCAGGGCATGCAGGGAGGGGGAGTCTGGAGTTCTTGCCAATTGAAGATCAATAGAAGTAAAGGTAAATCATCTCAGAAATGATGATGTGAGCCAATGGGGGAGATGTGACTGTGATTTATGCCCAATGCTTCAGGGAATGGGTCTTCAGAAAGAAGGGAACTGTCTCTAGAGTGTGGAGATGGAAAACTGCTCTTCACAAAGCCAACTGCGGGTGCCACAGAGAACTGGGAATGTCACCTCTGCCCATGTGTCCTCTCTCCACTGGAAGGGCCTGAGACTCGTTGTGACAGGTACTGGGAGGCTCAATCCATCCTGCCTTCTGGGCCGTACTCGCTCATTACAGAAGGCTGCAATTTCGTTTCAGATCGGCAGTGTAAAACCTGTTGTCATATTTTATGAGATGATGTTAACTCTGCTATGAAATTATACCCCGAGAATACCCCAGAGCCAGCTCAGTACATATAAATAGCCATTTATCAGATGCAACCCATAATCTTGCCGCTGCTGTGACCCATTCTGTAATTTTCCCTCTGCTGACAAGCTACAAATGAAGAGTGTACTTAGATTTCAGTTATGAGCTTTAAAATATGGATGTGGATATAAAAAGCTAAGCCCTTCAAGAAGTAGCTAGGGAATTTTCCCATTAAATTCTAAGGACTTTCGCCCATCTGCTTTCTAATCATGTAAGAATCCCGTGATCCCTGCACTGACCTCCCGCACAATCTTTTACCCACCGATTCCCCGTCATGGCTGTGTCAACTCCCTTTCCTAACTGGCCCATTGCCCCTTTATGTGGCACTCCCTCTCCCAAGACTGGCACTTCGCCTACATACTTACAAAACGTCTGTGTAAGCTGAGAACCACATTATGTTTGTGGATGTGATGATGTGAGCTTTAACCACTGAAACTTTTTTATTTTTTACAAAAAAGTCATGAACTATTACTATGTGCCAAACGCTGCGTACTAGATATCTTACACATACACTTTCATTTTCTATGCATTCGGCCCTCTGTATCTGCGGGATGCATGTCCGAGGATTCCCCCAACCTCAAAAAGAAAAATATATAAAAAATACAATATCACAATAAAAATAATACAAATTTTAAAATCTAGTATAACAACTATTTGCATAGCATTTACATTCTATCAGATACTATATATTAATATTTCTATTGGATATTATAAGTAATCTAGAGATGATTTAAAGTACACGGAAGAACTTATGTAGGTTACATGCAAACACTACCATATTTGATATCAGGGTGAGGGAATGTGTTCTTTTTCCAGGTCCACACGGGGGAGTAGTTTTAAGGGCAAGAACTTCTAGCGCCATGACCCGCTCCCATCTCTCCACCCGGGGGGGATTTAACGGTTTATGTTTGGATTTCGAGGGCTCGGGAAGAAACTAAGAGTCAATCACTCCATCGGAAGTTCTAAGGAACTCCTTTCATTTGCCCGGGGTCTTAGAAAAGAAGGGAACTCCTCCGAGGTTAAAAGTCCTCTTCTTCTACACCCCTTAGGACTCCATGTTTGGGTCCCCTTCCAGGAACACTCCCTTCGTGGAAGCCATCTTTCTCTCTCCTGGATTTTCCCTCTGGAGTCCCCCTTCCACAATCTCTCCTGGAAGCCTGTCTTCCCCTCCTAAACTCCATCTCTCTCTATTCCCTTCCGCTCCATGTGGAAGCTGCTTTCCTCTCCTGGATTCCATCTTTCTGGATTCCATCTTTCTGGATTCTCTCACTCAGTGTGAGAGTCAGCTCTTTCTTTCTCTCTCCCTCTCCTGTTTCTCTCTGTCTTTGAATAAATCACGTTCTACAAACACTTTTGAGTCTGGCATTTACTGCGCACTGTGCTGTGGTCCCCTCTCTCATTCTTGAGAGGGCAGGAGACCAAGAACCTGGAGAAACCTCCTCTCAGGGGAGCCGAGGGCACCCTGAACCCCCGAACCCCAATATTATAAGGATCTTGAGCATTCTCAGATTTTAGCATCCACAAATGGGCCTGGAACCAGTCCTCCTGCAAATACTGAGGGACAACTATGTGAAGAATCTGTGGTTCAGAACGAACTGTCTAGGATCATGAGCAGTTAACAGCTGGAACCAGGATTTGAACCTAAACTATTAGTTTCCTGCGGCTGCTGTAACAGATAATCAGAAACTGGGTGGCTCATAAAAACAGATGTATTCTCTCACAGCTCTGGAGGCTGGAAGTCCAAAATCAAGGTGTTGGCAGGGCTGCACTCCTTCCAGAGTCTCCAGGGAAGAATCCATTCCTTGCCTCTCCCAGCTTCTGGTGGCTGTTAGCATCCCTCAGCCTGTGGTCATGTCTCTCTCTGCTCTGTCTTCTCTGGGTTTTTGTGCCTCTCTCACACTCCCTTTACCTCAGTCCCAGGAGGATACATGCTACTGCATTTAGGGTCCATTCAGATAATGCAAGGTAAGTGTCTTCTCTCAAAATGTTTGACTTAATCACATTTATTTGCCATGTAAGGTAGCATTCACAGGTTCCGAGGATGTGAACTGAAAATCTTTTGGGGAGCTGTTTTTCAGCCTACCACAGACTCAAACGCCATCAAAGTCCCAATGGACTGAGGTCCCCATCCCCAGTCATGCATAAGAAATCTTCGGACTGTGGGAAACTAGAAGTAGGGGCTGCCTAGTTCATGAAATGCAAGTTGCACCTTAGCCAACCTCCACTTACATGAAGTTTCCAGGGGCCTGAAATTCACAAATTCATTTCTTTTGAATCATGAAAAAACCAAGATACCTGCTGGGCACTGGAAAATCTGTATGAAAAGATGCAGCACTTAATTAATTATGTGTAAGTTTTATTGATGTAACAAGTTTGATACGCTTGATTATTCACAGAAGTTATGCAGTGATCTCTCTACGTGTTGAAATCGTTCACCAAATTGGCACTTCCTGACCCATTTGTTTGTTGTCTCCATGACCCCATGGCTGGGAACTCTCCAAAACATTCTGTTTGTTGCTGGAAAAGACCTTTTCACAACCTTTTAAAAAATGCTATTTTAAAAAGAATTTTGTGTCAACGTGAAAAAAAAGTTTTAGAAAGGATAATAAAACCCGCCCATAATCCCGCCAGCCTAGCAAACAAGAATGAGTAGCATGTTCTAACCTTAATGAACATCACAGCGCTCCTCCATCAACGCTTATTACTGTATGCAAATAGCAACAGGAACTATTTGGTTTTCAGTTGTGAGGCATAGAACTATTACCTGATTTGATGAAAGCCCGTTGGCACCCCCAGTTATGAATAAGCAGACACTTGTCACCCCCCTGCACCTGAACATGTTAACAGATGTTATAAAATAAGTGGGCAATAGCCTGGCAAATTCAAAATTGCGAGAAATTTTCATTGTGATGTGTTGGAGGACCAGTTCTGGAACTTTATCGTAAGCAATCAGCCTGGGTTCTCATGGAAATTTTGAATTTTCCTCTGCAAAATGCTCTTTATTGCTTTATCATCAGCTTTCCAGACATCTCTTTCCAGCATCTGCTGAGCACAGGGAATGAACGCTTTCTTTTAGGACTACGAGTAAATACTAGAGAAACCATTTTTTTTTTCCTGCTGGAAAACATCAACATGGAACAGAACTCAAATCCAAATGATTTTTTGTTTTTGTTTTGAGACAGAGTCTCACTCTGTCGCTCAGGCTGGAGTGCAGTGGCACAATCTTGGCTCACTGAAACCTCTGCCTGCTGGGTTTGGGCAATTTTCGTGCCTCGGCCTCCCAAGTAGCTGGGACTACAGGTGTGCGCCACCATGCCCGGCTAGTTTTTTGTATTTTTAGTAGAGACACAGTTTCAGCATGCTGGCCAGGCTGGTCTCGAGCTCCTGACCTTGTGATCCACCCGCCTCAGGCTCCCAAAGTGCTGCGATTACAGTCGTGAGCTACTGTGCCCAGCCGTAAATGATTGTTTAATACTTTATTAAGGATTGTCTTGAGAACATGAATGGAAATAATGATGAGTTAACTGCAGGGAAAAAATTGTAAGGCCGGTGAAATCTGCTTAGCTG